AGAGAGAGAGACAGAGAGAGACAGAGAGAGACAGAGAGAGACAGAGAGAGACAGAGAGAGAGAGAGAGATTTATAAGCCCCTAAGCCATCTGCAGTGACAATCAAGACCAGAGCCCATCTGCACCCAACAACAATGTTGGGTACCACAGTCCTCTGCTAGCAGAAGAACAGCTACTGGGATGAGGTGTGTGGTTTTTGGACTTCCTGCCAGATGCTCTGCTCACATACACTGAATTAGACACCATAGTGCAAAGGGTAAGTACAAATGGATAAAAGAAACACCCACACTGCCACAGACAAAGCAGTATCTACAGCATTCATTGAAACTCATGGTTACCACAGGAGCAGGAGGCAAGAAGGCCATAAGGGAATGGCCTTGAGCTAATGCCTTACTCAGGATGTTTTTCACACAGGCAAACCCCACTCCTAACATTGTTTTCCTTCCCACCACTGTTCAATGTGCACAAACTCTGAACATCATAACTCATTCACCTTGGTTGAGTTTTAGCTCAATGCTTAATGGAACTTTTCATTCTTTCTAAGTGACATTCTTCCATGGGTAATAGTTCTATTATTATCTATATGAAAAGTATTATTGATGTTTCATTGCAATCTTGCACCATAAAGTTTCAGCTACATAAAACAGAAATAATCTTGCAAAATGTGCTCTATGTAGTAGAGGCAACACAATATAATAGGAATAGCTGCTGGGTGGCCAACCTTGCTGGGAGTATTAGTTGGATTATGATATGATTTTTAAATTATGATATGATTTTTAAAATATGACTTTATCACTTTTTTGTGTTAGATCACCTGATTTTTAAGATCTAATGTTCTTAGTTATGAAAATGGGATGAATAATATTTGCATGCCATAGTATTGGTTGGGACCATTTTTTATGGGTAATAGAAATCATCTCTCAATAGATTTAGAAAAGTTTAAGAATTTACTTAGGAACAAGGATACATTAAAACCCAGAAAATAAGCAGGCTTTTGGGAAAGGCTAAGGAAGACAAACACAGCGTCTCTTATTGTCCTGCCCTTGAACTTCTCTAGCTTTTTCTGCTACTCTACATGTAGCAAGGGCCAAAAGAGAGAGTGAAGGTGCTTTACTTTTCTTTCCAAAGTATTTTATTATTTATTTATTTATTTATTTATTTATTTATTTATTTATTTATTTATTGGCTCTTTGATATAGGACTTCTGCCTGTGTAGCCCTTGATGTCCTGGAACTTGCTCTGTAGATCAGTCTGGCCTCGTTGAGAACTCACTGAGATCCTCCTGCCTCTGCCTGCTGAGTGTTGGGATTAAAGATATGTACCTGTGCCACCACACCTGAGTTCTTTCAAAAAAGATTTATTTATTTTTATTTTATGTGCATTGGTGTTTTGTCTACATGTCTGTCTGTGTGAGGGTGTCAAGTCCCCTGGAACTGGAGTTGCAGACAGTTGTAAGCTGCCATGTGGGTGCTGGTAATTGAACCCTGATGCTATAGAAAAGCAGCCAGTGTTCTTAACTGCTGAGACATTTTTCCACCCCATCCAATACCTTTTAAAGACAGAATCCAGCTATGTATCCCAAGCTGCCCCTGAACTTGCTATATATTCAACAAGATATATAGGAGAACCAAACTCAAGAACCTGCTGCTTCAGTCTCCAAGTGCTGGGTTCTGGGATATCCCTACAAGCCAATGCTCTCCCTCTTTTGAAGATTAAATCAATGTATATCCATAAATGTTTAGTAGACTATTGATACAGGTTTTTTTCTCATTTCAGATTTTCCTTTTTTTATTCTTCTCTCATACAGTATACCCAGACCACAGCCTTTCCTCCCTCCACTCCTTCTAGCCCCTCTCACCTCCCCTCTCCCCCAGATCCACTGCTCCTCCATTTCCCTTCAGGAAAGAGCAGGCTTCCCAGGGACATCAGCCAAACAGGGAATAATGAGATGCAATAAGACTAGGCCCAAACCCTCATATCAACTCTGGACAAGGCAACCCAGCAGGAGGGAAAGGGTCACATGATCAGGCAAAAGAGTCAGAGACACCCCCCCCCACTCCTATTGTTAGGGGTCTCACAGAAACCCCAAGCTAAACAACCACAGCATGTATGCAGATGCCCTAGCTCAGACCCATGCAGGCTCTATGATTGCCACTTCAGTCTCTCTCTCTCTCTCCCTTTCTTTCTTTCTTTCTTTCTTCTTCTTCCTTCTTCTTCTTCTTCTTCTTCTTCTTCTTCTTCTTCTTCTTCTTCTTCTTCTCTCTCTCTTTCTGTCTCTACCTCCCTCCCTTCCTCTCTTTCTTTCTTTTCTCTTTCTGTTTAGATAAAGTTTTATATTGAATAAAATAGCTCTTATTACTAAAGGTCTCCAACCCCATATACTCTGCATTTTTCTTATTTTCTTCCCCCTTTTGAGTGTTTAAGAAAGGCTGTCACTCTGCAAGTTGTCCTCAAAAATTCTCCTGCCTCAGCCTCCTGAGTATGGGGATATGTGTGCTGATGTATTGTGTTTCCCAATATGCTGTGTTCCCCAATAAAATTTACTTGAGGATCAGTGGAAAAAGCCAGCAACTACATTCACATAGAAGTCAGGCAATGGTAGCACACGCCTTTAATCCTATCATTCGGGGGGCAGGGATCTGTCTGCATCTCTGTGAGTTCAAAGCCATACTGGAAAGAGAGCCAAGCGTGGTGACACATGCCTTTAATCCCAGCACTAACCATAGAGGTCTGGAGGTCTGTACAGACAGACAGGAAGTGACAGTGCTGGGCAGGAAGAGGAGGTAATGTAACTGGACAGAGAGCAAATGAGATAGCAGAACAGAAAGGCATATAGGCAAAGGTATACAGGAAGTAGGAATCTTTGGGAGCTGTGGAGTTGGTGAGGTGAAGTTAGCTGTGGATTTTGCTATTCCTCTGATCTTTCAGGCTTTCACACCAATTTCTGGCTCTGGATTTTTTTTATTATTAAGACTGTTTAGAAATTCATGTTACAGATACGAGCTACCACTCTCAGTTATAGTCTATTTTCAAAACAAGAGCTTAGGGAACTGAAAATATTTATAAAATTTTTAGGCAAATTATTTGGCTTTATAACTTAGCCTGAACAGAACCAAAAGGCATATACTTGTGGCACTGGCACAAAGAGGACTGTGATTGGAAGATTGTGCTAGCCTGGGATACAGAAACACCCAGTACCAAAAATGCAAAAGAAAAAAAAAAAAGAAGCTGAATTCTTGACCTGAATTCAGTTATTGCAACAAAGCGTTTATCTCAGTTGGTGGGATGTGCACATGATTTTTCCATGGAAAGAGTAGTATGCTTAACTATGCTGTGGGGATCAGGTGTGTTGAGGGCCCTTTGAAATATATAGTGTGGGGCAGTGGTGGTGCGTGCCATTAATCCCAGAGCTATCAGGAGGCAGAGACAGGAGGATCTCTGTGAGTTTGAGGCCAGCCTCATCAACAGAGCAAGTTCCAGAACAGCCAGGGCTACACAGAAAAACCTTGTGATGGAAAAAAACCCAAAAATATGTAGTGTATGTAATGCATTTAATGTTTATGAAATTTCCCAGTCCTGGATTCTTAACAGATGTGATTTCAAAGGTTTTGATAAGAAAGAAGGGCTTATATAATTACTGATACTTTTAAATTATGGCCTAAACATTTGAATACTAATGCCTATGGAATGCTAAAATCAAATTGTTAGTAACTTTAGTGTACTAAATCTCAGTTTAAAAATGATTTTCAATGTTCTTTCCTGGATAGTGAATGTCATCTTATTTAAAAACACAAATAACAACAGAACCAAAGCAATCATAATTATAGCCAGTTATTCCAGGAACCCAAGAAGAACTCCGCGGTGCTTACTCACTCTCGTTCACTCACTCACCCATGCAATAATCTATTCAATAAGTCTTCAAGTCTAGCGCCCACTGTGTCTTCACACCATACAAGGCCCAAGATGCAGCCACCATCCCTATTGTCAGTGGGATCAAATTTGTTTCCTTGCTCTAAAGTGCCTTCTAGCAAGCATAGTTAAGGAGATAAGGAGTTGCGAAGGATTGATATCAGTGTGCTGCTTCCTACAGTGAACCACTTTCAGATGTTTGGATTGTGGACTCAAGTTCTGTGGCTCTCCTTCAGCATTGATATGGTCATGCAGGACTGGCCTGGAGAACTGAACATCCCATGCTTGCTCTCTAGAAATCTATGCTGTGGGATGTTCTGTATGTCAAATGTGTTGCTGATTGGTCAATAAATAAAACACTGATTGGCCATTGGCGAGGCAGGAAGTATAGGTGGGACAAGGAGGAGAATAAAGCTGGGAAGTGGAAGGCTGAGTCAGAGAGACACTGCCAGCCGCCATGATGAGAAACAACATGTGAAGATGCCGGTAAACCACGAGCCATGTGGCAAGGTATAGATTAATGGAAATGGATTAATTTAAGCTGTAAGAACAGTTAGCAAGAAGTCTGCCATGGCCATACAGTTTGTAAGCAATATAAGTCTCTGTGTTTGCTTGGTTGGGTCTGAGTGGCTGTGGGACTGGCAGGTGAGAGAGATTTGCCCTGACTGTGGGCCAGGCAGGAAAGCTCTAGCTACAAATCTAGGCACCAAGTCCAGTCCAGCTCTCTAGAAAAGAAACCCCTCCAAATGGATTTTGGCTTATCTGGGTCTGTTTGCTATGATGAGATGTCCTTCTCCTCCCAAAGGCTCTAACCCAGAGCCTTACCTGGGCAGCCAACGCCACTCAACAAGGGATTTCTGAGACAAAGAAGTGCTCTTGGCCTGATCAATGCATTTGTTTTGAGGTCTGTGCTATCTTCTGATCTGTCTCAAATTCTTTGGCTTCTCAAGGTCTGATTATACTCAAGGTAGCAGGTGGAGCACTGAGACCTGAACTCCTAGCACATATGAACACACTGCTTTGTTTTGCTTTGTTTTGTTTTGTTTTCTGGTCACACAAGTCAGTCTCAAATTTATTTTACAGATGGAGGAAATAAACCATCATGGGAGACTGGGCATGGCACCCCACTAGGTGCAGCAATCCAGAGAGCGGGCATGGAACCTTGCCTGGGCATCATGCTAGAGCTGTTGGTAGGGTGCTGACCAATCCAGCTACTACCCAGGCCCAGAACCAGGACTATGAGGTAGCCCACTCCAACATCCACCTCATGTATGAACTGCTGGATCATGTAAAGGGGCCAGACCTGCAGATCCAAAACTACAGGATCTCCATGACACAGGGCTACAACAGGATATCCAAGAGGAGTCTTAGCGAGAGCCCAGTATCCATAGTCTATCAGAAGCCAGAGGACTTGAACCAGACCAATGACTCATTGCAAGGAACACTTGTAAGTAAAGCTGTATAGACTGAATGATTTACTGTGTGACTCACTGGGCCACAATACAGCTTCCATGCAGAGATTTTTTTTATGTGTTTTTTTGTTTTGTTTTGGTTTGGTTTGGTTTTGGATTTTTGGTTTTTGAGGGGATTGTTCTTTTAAGTTTTGTTTTGGGGAGAGGTTGCAAGGGCAGAGGGCAGATTCGAGGGGACGGTGAGATCAGAGATCAGGGTGCATGATGTGAAATCCACAAAGAATCAATAAAAGCTAAGTTTTTAAAAAAGGAAAAAAATGTTATTATTATGGTATACTATTATCCCCTACTAGACTAATAATATAATCTAACTGCAATTGTAACTATTTTAAAAAGGTGGGACCAGCGAAGCAGGTGGTGCATGGCTATAAAATCCCAGTATTCAAGTATTCAAGAGGATGTGGCAAGAGAATCACGACCTTTTGAGGCCACTCTGGGCTACAGAGTGATACCATGTGAAACAATGAGTGAGGGGACATGAAGACTTGCCTTCAAAATTGATGCCAGTTACATCATTCTTGGGTTCTAAGAAAAGGAGAAGTTGGCACCCATTCATCTCTCTGTTGCCCTCTCTGCCCATCTCTTTGTCCTTACTCCATGGACTTTCTTCTGCCCTGTTACGATATCACAGGAAGGATCTTAATAGATGCGAGCAACTAAATGTTCTACTTCACAGCTTCTAGCAATGTGAGTGATAATTTTATAATTATTATAGGTAACTTGGTCTATGATACTCTGTTTCTATAGCACATGGCAGATTAAAGATAGTCACCAAGAGGTGAAGCACACATCAAAGCTGGGCTTAGGTAGCTGCAAGCCAGAGCATAAGCTTATACATGAGCTCTACCCTTGTTCCACTAGAGGACCTAAAAAGTTTACTGACAGTTCAATCCCAGCACTTGGGAGGGAGATGTAGGCAGACCTCTGTGAATTCAAGGTCAGCCTGGTCTACAGAGTGAGTTCAGGACAGCCAAGGCTACATAGTGAAACCCTGTCTCAAAAAAAAATAAAAATAAAAATAAGAGATAATAAATAAACAAATCATGACAGTATAAGGAAAGTGTGCTCCATTGGCTTGGATGGGGTCTGGAGAATATATGAGACTTTCCTAAACACACTGAAAATGGGGCCTAGAGAAAGAGGAACTTGATTCACAGTCAGGAGAATGAGATGTGCAAGATATGCAAATTTACAGTATCAGTAGACTAACAACAGAGAATCACTTTGATCAGATAGAAGGCAGAATTTGGATATGTGAGAAATGAAGATTGAGGTGGTGGTACTTCAGATCAGGGATGGCCTTAAAGGCTGTTTAGGGTGGTTTGGACTTCACCCTGTAGACAGAAAGATATCAACAAAGTTTTGAAACAGTGGATTAACATAACCAGATCTGTTCTTTGGAAATGTCCCACTCAAGGTAGTATGAATGTCTCAGAGGTAAGAAGAAAGAAAGCGGGGAACCGGACAGCATGGAGTAACACATCGGCTCAGCACTGCTATGATCAGGAATACCTTACATTACCTGAAATCTCGGAGGAGAGAAAGACCCAGATTCTCAATTATTGGATTCTGGATGGAGAAACATCAGGTCTTTGTGGTAAGTTCATGTAGTGTTGAGACAAGGGAGAAAAAAAAAACGAGAGCATCCCAGGTTTCTGACATGCAGAATTCCTACAACAGATAGATATAACCTAATTTATATTACATTTTTCTGTTTCAATTATTTATATAGGGCATATATTGAATGCTTGCTCTGAGCCAAAAATCTATGCTAGATGCTGTGGATAGAAAAATGAGTTTGACAGAATGTTTTCCTTAGTTAAGGAGACAGACACATATGTAGACAATTTCAACACAGTGTAATAAATGTTACCATAAAGAGAGGAACAGGAATCACTTTCTGGTGTAATTATTCATTTATATTGCCAGAGTAGCTCTTATTTATCTTTGACCTTCAAGGAAACACAAGAACAGAGTTCACTTGACTTTGGGAAGATCATCTCTATCATCACAATGTATGTTATCAGAAGATAATATCTCTAACGAAGACTGAGCCTCACATGACTGAGACAAAACCCTTTTTCACCTTTATAAACCCCTAAAATGCATGCTAAACCTTCCAACTTAATTAATCAAAGTTTTCTCGGTCTTCTCTAGGCCTTCGACAAACTAACAAACAACTACAACAAAAAAAAAGGACATTTTGTCCTTTGCAAGATCATGTCATTCATCATAAGCCTGTAATGTGTACTTAGTCAAGTAATTTCTTTGAATCCTTAACTGAGAAAAGAAAAAGCATATGTAATGTTGTCTCCAGACTCTCAGGAAGGATCACATACTTTCAGTTTTTGTTGACATTTTTCTTAGATTACTTCCAAATAAGCTTAACAAAATGTTTATGGACTAAACTTTGGTCTATGCAATTCACAAAAAAACCACAAGATGTTTCTTTCTTCAAGAGACTAAACAAAATTCTGTGGTTCATCTTCATTTATGACTATTGGACACTACAAAAATAACCTGGTTCATAAGGCTCTGAAGAGACAACTTGGAGAAAATACAAAAACATACATTGTGATTGTTCTACTTGCTAAAATAACACAATTGTCCAATGTTAAACTTTTATTTACCTGCTCAAACCAGTGGTTTCTGTTACATCCTCAGATTCTGTGGATGTGTAACTAGGACAATGAAATTCAGAAATACTTTGAATGCAGGATATAAAGACGCAAAGGCTTGAGTTGATCTGATATCCGAGGAGCTATAGTTGTCTCAGGTCTCAAAGTGCAGCTTCTGAGCAAGGAAATCTTGAACACTAGGACAGCTGATAGAGTCCTCCAGTGCTGCTTTCTTCACTAAGTCGCCTTCTGGCAACTTCACAGTAGCTTGAGGTCCCACACGGAATTCAGGAAACATATGTGATCCCACAAACAAGGTGAAAGCAGCATGGCTTCCTATGTCTGTGCCTAGAAGTCACACAATATCCCTTTTACAAAGCATTCTCTTTTGGTTGAAATAACAAACTTTACCTAGATATGAGCTAAGGAGAGACACTTCAAACTTGGTAAGGATTGCAAGACAAACTTGGTAAAGATGGCAAAGTAACTCTGAAGGACAGTGACTATGACTATCTCTAGAAATTGCAACTTGGTTCAGTTACCTTAATTTAATAGTTAGAATTATTTTTCTCTCTCAAGCACTTCAAGTTTTTAATATTTTCACATTAAATACTATAAGCCTCAATGTTCAAGTTCACATAGATCTTATTAGCTGAAGATTCTTTTATCCAGAGATGGCAAGATGCTTTCCAATTAGCTTGGGATAAAAAAAAATCACATAATATAATCATATTATAAATGGCTTCAGTATCCTGGAGTACCTTTTGATATAATTTACTCTTTTGTAATTTAGTATTTTTGTTTGTTTGCATGTTGACTTTTGGAATCATTTCAAGATGTTGCCTCATAGGGATGGGAGAGACAGAGAGAGAGAGAGAGAGAGAGAGAGAGAGAGAGAGAGAGAGAGAGAGAGAGAGAGAGAGCCACTCAAGTAAGGCCACAGCAGAAGAGCAATCCCTGACCAATAGAAAAAGTAAAATGGAGGCATCAAAGGAGAGAATTGAGGGCAACTTCTGTGTTTGAATCCGAAACGGTCCCTCTCAGGCTTGTGGTCTAAATGCTTTTACCCAACATGGGACATTAATTTTAGTGGCTGAGGAACCCTTAAAAGGTGGAACTTCATTGGCAGAGATAGGCCCCCCAAGGATAAGACTAAACTAATGTGCTAAGTTCTAGCACATTCTCTACTTCCTGGTCTGATGTCATGTGAATAGTCACCATGTTGTTTAAGTCACCAAAGGTTGATAGTCTCCCTTTTGATACAGTGGACTGAAATAATTTGAAATGAGGAGCCAAATCAATTTCTTCCTTTAAGTTGTTTTTGTCATGTATTGTGGTCATAGCAATGCAAAAGTAGCTTGCAAAAGAGAAGTACCAGGAATGGGGTAGTTGTGGTAACTAAGCCAGACTATGTGCTTTTTAGGATTTGGGGACTGATTTGAGTGAAGAGTGGGGGAATGTTTGGAGTTACAGGTCAGAGTATCCCCATAATAATGTAAGAAGAGATTAGTGGGCATTTAAAAGACCAGGCTAGTTATAAAAATGCAGACTGCAAAAACTGGGCTAATGAGTCTCTGACTTAGTACTCAGGATATAGTACAGTTATGGTTCAGTAAACTTAGCCATGTTTCAGTGAGGATTAGAACAGCAAGTAAAAATAGTAAAGAAGAGATAGTGAAATGGTCAGTCTGATGAAAGGTGGAGTATAAAGTTGTAGACAACAGCTGTAATTGTTAACTAAATCAGTGTCTTAAAAGAGAAGCAATGGGAAGATAACTTGGAGGATAAACCACTTGTTTTGCAAGAATAAAGACCTGAGTTCAGATCCTCAACATCCATATAAATGCTGGGTGAGTCTGGTGACCCTCCTGTAACTCTAGTACTCAAAAGATGGAGGACATTGACTGGCTAAACTCTTGATTCAATGTCTACAGTGAGGAATAATCAGGGAAGACTCCCCGCATAAATATTCAGCCTCTACAAGCACATACACAGATGTTCATGGGCACCCCTATGTGTGCACATTCACTGGAACAATGGGAAAGGTACTTCTAGGCTCCATAACATACAAAGATCAACTCATTTTGAAATATTTTTCTTCAAAAGGAGAGATTTACAAGATGTCCCACTGAAATAGAGACAACCAAGAAAGCATTTTCCCAGGTTAAGTTGCATAGGAACTTAGAAGTAACTCAACTGTGGTCCAAGGAGGTCCTGCTATTCCTCAGGAGACTTTATGTATCCATATGAATTTAAGATATAAGGTCATGGATGTTTACACCAATAAAGCCTGTAAGACTGGACAACATGGGATCAAAACTTCTTCTCAGGGATCCCTGAATAGGTTATGAAGTTGTAAACATAAAGCCTAAGCTGAGATGGAGAGCACTGGATATGGTAGACAGACACTTGGAACATGGGACATTGACTGAGGAAATCTCCATCCAACAAAGTGAGCCAGGACTGGAGAAAGACTGCTGTGTGTGGCAAGGTTGGAGGTTCAAGGCTGTGTAAGCTCACTGGAGTCCACGAAATGCCACAATGTAGCCAGAAATGAAGCTACTGAACTTGGTGATTCAGGTTTTTGTTGTTGCTGCTGCTGTTGTTCCAAGGTTTCCTCCCTATATTCCTCCCGTTTGGAAGAGAAATTTGAAATTTGGAAGGGAAACTTACAAACTGTTATTTAACTTTTATTCTGATTTTGTATGAGTTCTTAGGTAAGGGTCCTTCTCCAGCCTCAGAAGAGATTTTGAACTTTAGACTTTTGAAAGGTATTGAGACTGTTACACCTTTGGAGACCAAATCAATATTTTATTATGAGATGACCAAAAGCCTTTGTGGGCCCAGAATGAAATGCTATTGTTTGAATATGAAATGTCCCCCCACAGACTCTTTCTTTGAATGATTATGCTCCAGCTTATATTACTTTTTTGGAAAACTATGGCACCTTCAAGAATAAGGCCTACCTGTTGGAAGTAGATCATGAGGGACAGGCCTTTGAAAGTTTTAGTCAGGTCCTTGGTCCAGGCTCCTTTTTTGTTTCCTTTTGTTGCCACCACTGATGGAGCTGCTCCTCTGGCAGACCCAGTTGTGATGGACTGAAATCCCTTAAACTTGAGCCCAAACCAATCCTTCCTTCCTGCCAGGTATTATAGTCACAAAGACTCAAAAGCACCAAAACCAGCACTAAATCTGGAGGGTGTAATCTCTGTCCACGGTACTGAAACTGTTTGTGCTTTTTTTTTTTTTTTTTTTTTTTTTTTTTTTTTTTTTTTTTTTTTTTTAGGACTATCTAGATTTGAAAGGTTTTCATTATACTATAGAATTATTTTAAAAAATCCCTCAGGTTTTAGGAACACCTGTATTCAGAGAAAGATGCTGCCACATAGAAGGAAGTGCAGACTGAAGAAGACATCAAGTGATTATGGTTCATGGGCAAACTCACAAACCCTAGAGAATGGGTGTGTCAAAAATACAATGAAACTGGTGGTCTGGGAAAGACCTGCCCTTGATCTAAGAGCCACAGACAATAGTGACTACAGGATTTGGCCACAACTGTAATTACAAAGCCCAAAGGAATTGCCACTCATTGATTGTGAATAGGCTAACATTTCCAAGGATATGAAACAAACAATACTCCTATGCTACCCATCCCAATCACGTGAGCCTATCACTCAATTCAGATGTATTCATTCTCCTGATAAATAGCAGAAGGAGAAGTGGTGGGGTGGGAGTCCAGTGAAAAGCGAGGAATATAGGGTTTATGTTCCCTAAACTATTTATCCCAAAGACCCCAAGTTTCTTAAAGAGGACATTAATAACAAGAGTTAGTAAAATACTTTGAATGAGCAAATTTGATACCCCTATTCAGCCACCAATGTAGACGGTGGGTAGGAACAAGGGGAAATATTTAAAGGAACAGCATTTCCATTTTGTATATTGGAATTGCAAACAATGCCTGTGATCATGGCACCTACTC